CCCCAAAACCCCAAAACCCCAAAACCCCAAAACCCCTAATTCCTTTATAAATATTGTAATATATTCAAAGTATTTAATTATGGAAAAGAAGAAGACCTCTAAACTCACTAATTTCTTCAGTCAATATGTGTTCAAATGCTTCCAGGTTGATGACACAAGCAGTGAAGATTGCAAAGAAACTGATTGTAAATACCCTATCGAGGGGAATAAGTCAGACTATCCGCTATAAACAATCTGAAGGAAGCTAGTTATGAATACAACAGAAATCCCGTTTCAAATGATTTTAGCATCTCTAAGTCACGGGCTTGACATAAACCAGGGCCATCTTTTGCTACTGATTTAGGAATGATTTGAAGACATAATCATTCGTCTTCGCAGAGCATGATTAATGACGATGATCACCACCCTGAGATTAATGAAATTATACCTTATCAATCACATGTAAATTTCCACCCTGTAAAAGCTCTAAGTTCACCTAAAGTTTACCTAGAAAAAGCAAAGGACCACTACTTGCTTAAATCTGGAAGGAGGCTATTGTCTACAAAATAACAAGGTAGTCAGAACAAATTTCTCAAAGATTGCCTTAGTCAGTTACCCTGGGTCTGGAGAGGCCTTCCTTAGAGAAAGTCTTGAAGAAATCACTAAAATTTTTACAGCTGACGATACAGAGCATGAGTATAAGATGAGCCCTAAAATTAGCAATGCTTGGATAATTAACACCCATTTCCCGCTCCAAAAAGCTCAGAAGTTTAAAGCAAAGAAGGCTATTGTTCTAATATAAGAGATCCATTGGAAACAATTGTCGAAAGCAAAAAGAAGGTATTTCTGTCAGGTAATATTAACCAAGCTCCCGTATAACAAATTCTAGATACCAACTCACAAGCCTCAGTCAGGTTAGAAAAATTTGAGAGCAGTGACTCCCTTGATGCCAAGAAGTTAGAAAAATGGGCTAGATTTTATGAATATTGGATAGACCCGAAACGGGAATGTTTAACATATTTCGTGAAATATTCAGATTTAGTTAAGGACCACCCGAAAGTGATGAAAGATTTATGATGATTTTTGATTGGGTGACAGAAGAAGGATCTAAAAGGAAGTGTACTTGAAAAGTTATGAAACTCAAAAATAATCCACGCCTCCAGACACCTCACCCCTCCTTCCTGCTCTCTCTCCCACTCGACCAACACACATCTCCTATCCACACCTGGAGTTACCAAAATCCTCAATTTCACTGGTCGCTTACATCCCAGAATCGTTCTTCCTCTCCGTATGTCCTTCTGTCCAAACCCTTGCTCTGATGCAGAAATCCTACAAGAATCCGCAGCTTCAGCTGCAGTTAGAACTTCAGTACAAGGTAGCTACCCAAAATACGAATTATCGTTAGATGAAGAAGAAAGAGAGGAACAGAATCCAACGATAGACCAACGCAACCAGTTTTGCTATTTTCAAGCGATTGAGAAGGAACCGAAAGAGATGGAATATATGCTCCTGAATAAAGAAAAAGATGTCAAGGTGTTCCTTCGGAATCGGATTAAACAATTTGAGTAATCTATCAGTTGCCTTGAAACTCGAATTTAATTTAGAAACTCTTTGATGCAATATTCAAATTCAATTATTTATCAACCTTAAGGGGTTTTGGGGTTTTGGGGTTTTGGGG